ATATATATATGGCTGACAAGATAGCTCAGTGGACTAAGTGCCTGCTTAGGGAAGCACTGGGGCTGGGTTCAATCCCCTGGATGTGCTGAGCTGGCAACTGAGTCCAGGAGTGGTGGTGCATGCCTGTAATCCTAGCACTGGGGAGGCTGAAAACAAGAAGATCACTATGAGCTTGAGCTGCATAGTGAGACCCTAAACAAAACAAAAGAAACAAAAAAAAATATTTATTTATTTACTTATTTGGCATTTTGAGACAAAGTCTCCTATATAGCCAAGGCTGACCTTGAACTCTCAGGGATCCTCCTGCCTCAACCTCCTGAGTGCTGGGATTACAGGCATGTACCACTATGCCTGGCTTGAAAAACTTTTTACAGGAGCTTGACAGAACAGAACTTTGAAGATTACAAAGAGGTCTGTATTACTGGAGCATAAGGGTAAAGAAAAGTGTAGGAGGGGGTTAGAAATGTGGTTCAGTTGCTTAAGAACTTGTAGGCAATGCAACAGACTTCAGCACTTTTACAAAATAGTTGATATCTCACAAAATCCTGTTAGGAATAAATAGGAAATGGCAAAACAAAAATGACAGCCATGATGGCTGGAAAAACGGTACTCTGAGAATATGAATTTTTATTATTAGTGATAATAGTAATAGTAATTATTACTGATAATAGTAACTAATAGTAATTCTCCCAGCCCTGCAAATACAGTTAGGAACAAGTTGTTTTCTGTATATGGAGAGATTAGTTTATAACTACAAAAACAAAAAATGTCTGTTTATGTTTAGTTCTATTGTAACATCCTTAAGATGTTAAACAAACAGAATGAGCTTTTCTCCACAAGAAAAATTGGGGCTGCTATAGCCTGGCATGGTAAAGAACCCTACCAAAGCTACGCAGGGCAACTAGAAATGCCAGAATGGCATTGAAGGCATTCTTCACCCACTGTTATTTGGCAGGCACCAAAAAAAAAAAAAAAAAAAAGACTTACTTTAGGAAATCTCATGCATAAAATATTTTGAATTCTAAACCATGTGGGTGTTCCTCTCTCTGACTCTGTATCCATACAAAAGTTTAATTAAATAAAAACCGTGTCATGTTTTGAGAAATAAGGATGGCAATATTTCCTGATCTTGTTGCTCTCTTTTTTAAGTTTTTACCTTTTTAAAGACTAATAGGAGCTGGGTCTGGTGGTACATGCTTATAATCCCAGCACTCGGGAGGCTAAGGCAGGAGGATCACTGTGAGCTTGAAGCCCACTTGGGATACATGATGAGTTAAAGGCTAGCATGAACTGTATAGTGAGACCCTGCTTTTTTATTTTCTGGTGGAACCGGGGGTTGAACTCAGGGCCTTGCACTTGCCAGGGAAGCACTTATTCTACTGAGCCATCTCCCTGGCCCCCTGCTTAAAAAAAAAAAAGGCTATTAGATATCAGGCAGGGATATAGCTCAGTGGCATAAGTGCCTGTCTGGTAAATGCAAGGTCCCAAGTTTGATCCCTGGTACCATTAAAAAAAAAAAAAGAAGAAGAAGAAGAAGAAGTAAATATTACCACAGCTATGATCCAGGCTACTGTTCAGTCTCAGAAAAGCAAAAAAAGAATTAGAAATTATCCTACTATCATCAAAGATAGACAATTGGTCCAGCCAGACAGTTCAGCAGATTAAAGCACTTGCTTAGGCAGACACAGGGGTTGGGGGTTGGTTCCCTGGGATGCTCTGCCAGCCCCGCCCCCTGGGGTACCTGAGATTGGGTGTGGTCGTGCACACCTGTAATCCCAGTGTTTGGGAGGCTGAAAACAGGAAGATCACTACGAGTCCAATCTGTGTAGTGAGACCCTGTAGAGCCTGTCCTAAATATATTTTTTAAAAAAAATTGGCAATTATTATATTATTATAATAATGGGCGATTATTAGCACTTAGATGTATAGACAACTCTGTAAACTCAGTTAATATGCAACCCTCCCTGATAGTGTTCTGATTGGACTTTAACTAATGACTTTGATATAACAAATTAGGGAACGTGTACGTGCCTGGGCAGATACCTGAATTGCAAATACTGTGTAAGTCAGCAAACAGTTTAAAAACAAAACCAGGAGTACTCGAAGATCAAACTCATGGTTTTATATATATAAATATATTTTATATTTTCTATTTGTATATATATGTACGTATATGTTTTTTAAATGGTACATACTGACTTATTAAAACTGAAGTTGATCCTCTTCGCACTCAGGAAGGCTGTCTGCCTCAAGGAGATTCTAATGAGTGG